CCTTCGATGAGAGTAAAAACGGTTTTTTAAAACTAAAAATATTTGAAGATGTGAACTAACGGGAGTTCAATGCGGGCAGTAGGCAAAGTATTAGCGATGCAAAAGAGATCCTGCTGCGATTTGCAACTGGTTTATTACCACCTTTCAGATCTTACATGTTCCATTTTGTTTATATGTAGGCCAGTAAGAACCGTTAAACCAAAGTTAAAGGTGGTAGAAATACGTTTAAAACTGCTTAACTGAACCAAGGCCTGATTAAGCATGGTCGGTTCCATTGTGTGGCCACAATGGAATCCAGGCCAAAGCCTTAAACACAGAGTTCAATTCAGGCATAAGGTGAGCTTCCCTCACCTAAACTACAGAGAAGCCAATTTCACATTTTTAAAATTTCGTATATGCAACATTGGGTGATCTTTAGGGATTTCCTAACTCATTCTGATATCCATGACATGCAACTGAAGAGCACCTGATCACGTGTGACTTCCTGAAGGCTTCCAAAGATCTTTGGAGGAACTCAGACAAGTGATGGGCCCGTGTTAGAGGAATGCCACTTGTTATTATACGTGGATCATCTGAAATCATACCAACAGAACTTTCTGCTTTTCCAGTTATGAGGAAAGATGTAGTCAAACTTGATAGACTTCCACTTCCTTAATGCGGGGGGATGTGAGCTATATGTTTTCTCACAAGTTTATGGAACTTTTATGATCCTAGTCAAATGAATATTAGCAAAATGCTGCCTGACAGTACAATAATGTTTGACATGGCAATAGTTGTGAGCCTGTCACCGTAATTATCATGAATTTGGCCTCTAACGGGTGGATTGCATGAAACTGACCTGAGCCTAATGGAGCTTTAATGCTCCATTAGGCTCAAGTCAGTTTCATGCAATCCCCCTCATATCTTCTATGTCTTACTGATGAAAGGAGTCATTCCTACTTGTCATTCTGGGCTTGATGTGATTTTCACTTATTCCTGCCTTCCTCCACTTTAATCATGGAGAAATTTTCCAATTCTAGCATAACCATGCTAGATATTGTTACGGTTCCGTGCGTTCTCCTCTACTGGTGGTGGGAATCACAACACAATAGGTCAGGGCTGATACAAAAGCTTGGTTGATTGACAAATGACAGTCCTCGGCCAATCAATCAATGGAAGATCCTGGAAGATTACGAAAGGGATAAAGGGATCGGGAACGTCTACTCCCGAGGGATAAGAAGGTTCAGGGGATCGGGAATGTCTAATACCCAGGGGCAAGAAGGTTCAGGACGGCAGGAATGTCTTAATCCCGCAGGATAAAGGGTGCTGCTGCTTACCGGCCGTGGACGATAAACGAAAAGAATACAAGATACGAAAGCTATAATCAGCTCTCTGCTTTCCTCTTTAAAAAAAAAGGGGGAGAACCTCACTCCTCAGGCGCGTGCGATCTTGTGGTACAGGCCATCATTTCTTGGTGCTTGGACGCCGAATTACTGCATTAAAATGTAAGTATAACTCTGTCTCTACTCTGTGAGTGCCAGACGGAAATGAAAAGAGAAGTGGTGAAGAACAAAAGACATATACAGGGTTACTTAGAACAATCTCTCGATTGGGGTAAAGGGTCAGAGGCCAGGCGTGACACCTAGGGGGTCATGCATACACTGTGGTCTCCCTGGGCGACTCATAGAGAGCTCTTCCCTCGCATACCGGCAGTCCTGCCAGGCTACTCACCGGGTGTCGTGCCGGCTGGGCCGTTACATGGCGTGACACCTAGGGGGTCATGCATACACTGTGGTCTCCCTGGGCGACTCATAGAGAGCTCTTCCCTCGCATACCGGCAGTCCTGCCAGGCCACTCACCGGGTGTCGTGCCGGCTGGGCCGTTACAATATGAAATTGGTGGGAGTGAGATCCCTTACGCGACCTTCCATCAAGATGAGCGTAGTAGGGGACGACAAAATCCTGCCCCCTTCCCCCTCCTCACATGATCTAGCCGTAAAATTGTTCTAGAAAAGGAATACAGGGAGGCCCTGTAATCAACTTTAGACCAGGAAGGGGAGAGGATTTCTCTTGATGGGTTTTGGAGGATAACGCATTCTATGGAGAGGATCAGGCAGTTCCGCGACTGGCCTGGAATTTAGGGAGTTCCCTGCATTTGCACCCCTCTACTTTCACCATGGTGAAGTCTTTCTTAACCCTGGCTGTGCCATTAGAGGAGATTGTTAACTCTGTAACTACTGTTTGGGGTCCAATGGATCCTGACACAAAAGCTAGGCATTTGTGTAGGCTGCATCGTGAATTTGGTTGGTTTGAAGTCTGATACTTGGTGCATTTTCACCAAGACATGCGGATAGTAATTAGGCAAAGTATTTTGAAAGAGATTCTTTGGGAATGAAGAGATGAAACAAAGAGTGAAACATATGACCATCTGGGTTCCGGTAGTTACAGGGTTAAAGCCGGTCTACACAATGCGTTCTGCTCCATGAGTCGAATGCATGAGTTGAGCATGTCAAATTGTATGTAACTTCCATTCACACGAATTTCCTTCCGTGCGTTCTGCCCTCCCTCTATCATCCGGTCGAGTCGTGGTGATCATGGAAGATCGAGTGTGTGCATCGTCTACCAAACTGTTATTGGCTTTCATAGGATTTTATTAGCTCTCGTCGTAATCCACAAACCGCCGGTATCGGGGAAAGGTCAAATTATTTTCAGGAGAAAATCCCGAAAGAACAATTTGCCGCGATAATGGATCGGCGGAAGGCATAATCTCGATGTCCCAGGTTGTTCAAGGAACACCAGGAGGAAGACCTCTGAGGATTTCAGAATTTCCTGAGAATGAAAGTGAACAGACGACGCAATATCCCAGCTCTCTGATCGGTTCTTTCTATGCAGTCTAAAACAAGGAACAGGTCCTAGTCTATTCCCATGCTTGCGTTCTCATGCGACGTGCGTTCAAAGTTTAACAGAGGAGTCCACGCATGCGATGAACTCCTGCATGAAAACGCATCGCGTATACAAACCATTAGTGGCAAGATGAATTTGCTGCAGAAATGAATGTGGGAAACGATGAATGAAAGGAAAGACGTTCAGAAAGCAGATTTTCATATGACATGGCATGAGAGTCATAGACCAGAGATGTATTCTGTGTGTCAACCATTTTTGGCGATTCTTTCAGTCACTGGCAGGGGTCGGTTTTCCATACGGTTACGGTCAGCAGATTGGCTATTGGTACCCTCAAGGCTACCCCCCTCTTGGTGGACAATTTCTTCAGGGGATTCAAACCAACCCTTACCATCATCTCGGCTACCAGCAAAGCTACGTCGGGTGAGTCGCTCAGAGAAAAACTCTTGCTGATGTTGAAAGGCCACAGAAGTTTCGTCACTGCCTTCGATTGAGGTAAGAAAGCTTCTTTGGCTGCAAGTAGCTTTACGCCCTCCATTATTTTAGTTGGAAAATATCTGGTGGCTTACAACGTGCAAGAGATTTCTTATTCTTCCAACGAGTATACGATCAGTTGCAGGGTTTTATTCGGTGCCATTCAACTGGTAAAAGAAGGTAGGTTGAATGAAAAATTTGTCTAATTTCAGGTACTTTCCAGCTGGACTATGACGAAATGTGAGGACAAGCCTCAGCCCTCCAGACGGTGTTGTACTATAAACACGAAGGAGAAAGACAGAGGCGAAGGGAAGACGTTATTGTTGTTGTTGTGAGAGTGAAAGCGAATGTCGATGCATTGGGAAGATGTCGCTGGACTCCACCCTTCTCGTCCTCCCCGTCCGCCTGCCTTTAAATGAATGTGTATCCCTCTTTTGCGTGATCTCCCTCATCTCTTCTTCTCCTCCTTTCCCCCTCCACATTTTGTCAATGATGACGAGGGAGTCATCATGCATACTGCATGGGATATCATCATAATCATGCCTTCAGCCTTCCTTCGCATGTTGCCATACTGATATTCTTTGATGAATTATTTATCTCCACCAACCCCAATGGGCTTGGCCGAGGTCGGATTCGGGCAAGGTTTTCCCCACCAGATATATTTTTTTCGCTTCCAGATTGAGGAAAGCCGATCGATGGTCTTTGTATAACCTGGATCGCGTCGAGACGTTTCAATCTGGACATTCGTGTTTCGTCATTACATGTCCCCGTCCAGTCTCGCGTTACATTAAATATACCAGAAAGGCGGCGTCCCTCGATGACTGAAAGAACTTGGTTGTGATGTGATGAGAGCGCTTGTGTGACACTTCCTTGCATGATGTATAGCAGAGCAGACCCAGGGAGGATATGGGTCGACCGAAATCCCCAGCAATCCCGCATTCCCATTATCTCGCAGCCTTATCTCTGCCTCGTCGAAGCTTTCCCTGCTTTCTCATTTCAGTGAGCACCTTATTCAGCCAAAACATATAAAGGGCGTGCTGTACTGGTGAAAAGCGGGAAAGCTCCCACACAGCCTGTGTTGCCTCATATTTCTCCATTTCCATCAGTTCAACTTCCCTACAACACTACTTAATAGGCCTCATTTCCCCGAGCACGACGTCTCCAGTCTTTACGGATCAGAAAAACATATATATACCATATGTATTTAATGATTATATGCTTGTAATAACCATGGGAGAAGACTTGCCGGAGTGACAAAGGAAATCATGAGGAAGACTGACCTATTGAGAAACCTTAGCCCAACTTTGGTAGATAAGGTATTCTTCCAGACTAAAAGACACAACCACCAACATTTGAATAATCTCCACATTGACTTTGGGGAAGCTGAGCGATGAGAAAAAATTTCCGGTGCTCTGCATTGAGTCATTTTTATACCAGGATGTCCCACCTTAGTCCCTGCTGTCAAATCCTTACCCTGGTCCCATATAAATATCAACTGCTCCTTTCCTCTATCCTTGCTCAATGACACAAAATCTATATATTATGGCATGTTATATGTTACAAGTGGGAAATATGAATATATGGATATGCCTAAACTAATCCAAGTGTTTAGACTGGAGAGACTCAAACCAATTCACAAGCCAGGAAAACCAAAAAAATCACTTTTACTGAAAATATTTCTCGTGACATGAGTATTTTACACATCAAGAGTCCATGATAAAAAAAATATCACCTCAGGAATATGAAACAAGAACACTTGTAAAAGAGACAAAACCTTGCACTGAATTTCCTTTGGTAATTATTCATCTGCAGTTTCACAGCTCATGGAATCAAAAATTAACCAGAAATTTTGGGCCACTCTATGATTTAGTGCTGTACCCTTAGTTTCACATCTGGACTCATCACATGTGGGAAGCCCAATATATAAATTGAAAAGGGAATATATAGCAAATTCATAATGGAATATCAGACACATAGGTACACAGCACATGATATTGAATTGTATCACAAATGCAAGAGGATTAAAAACGCTACAGCAGTACATCTCTGGAGGAATGAAAAAAAAAGGTTATCTATCGGTTTCTGCCAAGCAATGGCTCAGTCTCATCACAGGAAGGACTTTTGGAAGGCAGAATGGTAGCACCATTCATTTGTGTGGAGGAAGAAGTCCAATAAATGTGAAACAATAGCACCATAATGCCCTGCCACCAGATACATGAATAAATCACTTTGGCAAGTGCAAAATACAATTTTAATCTCAAGAGACAAGGGGGAGTTGAGAACTCACCAATCCAAATGAGGTAAATCCAATGGCATCAGAGGCTAAAGGGAAGCCAAAATGATCCATGAGGATCCCTCCAACAGATGGACCAAGCACTTCCCTAGAAAAAGTTCCCCAACAATGAGCACTTACTGTTAAATGAAATCCTGCAAGAAAAACTAGCATGTCTACTTAAAAGGTAAAAAAAAAAGTGAAAAACTGGTCTATGTACATAGACTACTTTTCCCCACTTGAGAGAGGGCAGTCACTGGAATCTTATGACATGAAAAAGTGGTCCATTCAGAAGATGACAATACCTAGGCTAAAATTAGTATGACCTTTAGTATAGTTCAGGGGTGACAAAACACAGGAAATGCATCATGACACTTATTGAGTGATTTCATAGCAGGATTGTATTTTTATTTTTTTTTTGAGGCAAAGTTTCTTGAGTAAAAATATATATGATCATTGCTGTTAGTATGAATGGTTTTGAACAAATGATTTGAATGAACATATGGTTTTGAAATGTGCATCCATTTTAATGGTTTAAATGCTAAGATAAAAAAAGTAATATTAATTCATCAAACAGAATAATGGTGGGTAGTTCCATTATCACCAATACCTGATTCAAAGGAGAGAGGCAACAGAAAGGGGATACAAATATTCAGAGTAATTCTTACAAAATGGAAAAGAAAATTTCAGTTATCATTGTGATAAAAAAAGGAAGAAAAACTTGGCATGAAACTATTTAAAACATGAAAATAACATTGAAATCAGGTATCTTTCCATGCATTCTTATGTCTACAAGTAGCAAAGCATATGACGCCCTCATAATCTTCATAAGGGAAAACTCATTCTTCATGGGCATTAAAGAGTATAATAGGGGAGGTATAAAAAAAAAAGAGAGGTAAACTTGGGTTATCAGAAGTCAAAGATCCATAAATTTTCAATAGGGATAAACTCATGGTAGGGATAGGCCAAGACTAAGGATAGAGAGAAACTGTTCTGCTTTCCAAAGTTTACTTCGTGGAGAATCCAATTACTAATGGGAGAATCCAGAGTGTGACTGCTTCAAATGAAGCAGACCCATTTAATCTGCATCCAGATAACTTTTTATTTCCACCTGCAGTCCAGAAAGTCTGACTCCTGACTCCATCCAAACTAATAAAAAAATTTCATTTTTATAGCCAGAAATGGTCTCTTATGTGAGGATTTCCGATTAATTTCTTTCACTCTTCTAGTGAAAACGCATGAAATCCTTTCTCTTTGCAAGTCTTAATGACATCAAAATCTGCCATCTGGGAGATATGGTCTCTTTTAGGAAATAAATTATCCTACAACTCCAATTCATTTTCACAGCAAACATGAAAGAGCTGACAAGAGCTCGTTGCAATTTTATCTTATACAGTCATAACAGAAGCATATTACTTTTCAATGCAACACAGTCACATATGGCACTAATATAATACAAACAAGGCGTTCAAATACAGAAGAGGCTCTGTAAAACTTAAAAATGAAAAGTGAGCAAGAGACTTGGTCATTAGTCTTTGATTCTGAAGTGGCTTCTTCAAGCTTTTGTATCACAACTTCTATCCTCTTGTCATGAAGAACAGCACAAATGTACTGTTTTATATTATACTTAGTACTGGAGTGTATTTTGCCAAGCTTTACATAATTAACAGTAGTAACAATTTTTTGAAAAATAATTAAATGTTACTTGTAATCACAAAGGGTTTGCCAATTCCTCTAATGTTGAGACTATCTGGCAGATGAAGCATATTATTACTGAAATTATTATAAATACAAACTGAAATTAGTACATCTAGTTTTAATACATTAAATGTCACAGTATGACCAATGTCCTTGGGTCACCTGCACATGACCAAGGTTTTGCATCCCTTGCCTGCCTGATGCAAGAAAGTCATTTATGTAGGGAGAGACAATGTCTTGTGCCTCATCAACAATGAGTGCCTCATTCAACAGCATCAAAGGTTTCAGAAACTCTTTTCTTCTAAGCTCTCTCTATGTAATCATCAATGCAGGCAGACTTGTTCACCTTAACAGGAAAATGAATAAACGGGTTTTGACCACTTTTCCATTTCATAAAAAGAATATCCAGTCACATGAGGTAAAAGGGTCTACATACATACACCACTCTTCCCTTCCAAATCTTGAAAAATGATTTTTTGCAGATAGACAAGTCTTCCATGCAGGCCTTCCAATGTTCTTGCCCTGTCACTTGTGTCTATGCCAGTAATGAAGCCAGATCAAATTTCCTCACCCAAGAGAATATACAGAAGACCAGAGACCAGAGACAATGCCATAAGTTGCAATGTTCTCTTCAAAACCAGCTTCCCTGGGAGAAAAAGTAACTTGATAAGGGTACTATTCTCAGCTCAAGCTGACAGTGTACATACCTAACAAATGATAATTTCATATGAAAATGAAAAAACTTGTGAACAGAAAAATGAAGTCATTAACGTATAAATAATGAATGGAAAATGGCCATGACAATGTAATGAAGGAAATTGAGGACTTACCTGGCCTCTCGGAAAGACTGCTCAAATGTTGGAATGCAAGCAGCAGCCCCAAATATTGCAATGAGAGCAAGAGATAAAATGTTCAGCCACAATGCTCTGGAATAGAAGAGGGATATTTAGTTCGATATGTAGGCAAAGTAGGCTTTATGGTTAGTGCCTCACTTGGGCAGAAAAGATGCCAAGATGGGAGAAGGTCCTAGTAACAGGAAGGAGAGGCCTGTCAGGACTAGTCCGACACCAACTACTGGCCGTGTTTCAGTGGAACGATCAGCAATCCACCCCCATATTGGGCTAAATAACGCATACACAGCTGAAACCAACAGGAACAAAAGACCCAGCTGGTCTGGTGAAAGCTGGTACTGGAAAGAAAGAGATGAAGGGATCATAGTTTCATCATATGAATCAAGAGGATGGGATGAAAGTAAGCAGGGGCAGACATCTCGAAGATGGGGTTCCAGTGTTGGATCAAGGAAACTCCAAGCAGTTGCTACCATGCATATAACGATGCAAGTCATTAAAATGGGTGGGAATTTCACCAACTTCCATAGGCTTGCTTCTTTCACCTCACTCATAGGCCCATCTGTAAAAAGCAGAATCTCAGAATGGAGGGTGTGCACCCACTTCAAGCCACTTAAATTTGTAATGAAAATGAATGGAATAACATTTGCCTGGTTTCCACTATGTTATGAATATCAGTCATTATTCCCATACAATTTATGAACATTTGCAACTTGGTGGCATCAAAAAATATGATGACATTCAGGATTTGTACCTGTGAGAATGTGTTGTGCCATATACGAGGTCTGATCAAAAAGTTCCAGTACTTTTATTCGTAAACTTTATTTTTGATAAGTACATTGAAATTAATTGTTGTCCCCTTCAAAGTATTCCCCCCTTGATGCTATGCACTTATTGCAATGCTCTTGCAACTTCTGGAAGCAGTGCTGGAAGTCCTGGAGTGTAAGACTCTTAAGCTGTCTCATCACATTTTCCTTGATGCACGCAATGTCTTTAAATCTTTTTCCTTTCAGGTGAAATTTAATATTGGGGAACAGGAGAAAGTCACACGGAGCCAGGTCCAGTGAATAGGGAGGGTGGGGCAACCCAGGAATTTTTTTTTAGCCAAAAACTCTCAAATTGTGAGAGCAGTGTGGGCTGGAGCATTCTCATGATGCAAAAACCAGGCTTCATTTTGGAAGTTTGGAGCCGTTTTCTCCTAATTTTTTCTTGCAGACAGGTCAAAACATCTTTGTAGTAAGCCTGGTTAACTGTTTGGTCTTGTGGGACAAACTCACGATGCATCAGGATCATGATGCATGATCGAAAATTCAACGAAGAGCACAGAGACGACCAGATTTCAATGCTCGCGATTTGTGACTGGTTGATCCTAGCGTAAATTAGTTTCAACATACATGCAGTAACCCCCCCTACTCCCACCTACACTAGTCCTAGCCCCCTACCTAAAGCAGTTTATTTTTTAACAAGAAAGTACTGGAAATTTTTTTTTATCAGACCTTGTCTTGAAAGCCAGTACACCAATGAAATGAGAAAAGGAAATGAGAATTTAGGGGGCCCTCTGGTTTCAATAAAGAAGCTTAAAGTGAATGAGGGAGGCTAAGTGACAGCAAATGTTCTCTTGTAGTCAGTAGCTGTCATATAGGCCTAGACCTGGGATCATTCATGTCTTGCATCATTTCATTCCTGGTATGTTGGAATATGGAATTGTACCTACTAGCTACAGGCTTCTCACAGTGCAATAAATGTGGAGATGGCATGAAGGTTTTTTTCCCTCAGTTTGAAAGCTCATCAGGAGGTAAATGATTTTTTTTTGCCTTTCTTTGACCATTTTTCATTGGATACAAGAAGCAGCACTTTATTGTATCATAACATGTCATTTTGTCAAACTTCAGATAAAACAAACAGCATAAAATCACAGAAAATTTCCTCTATTCAAGTGTTGCCTTCTTGGTCAGTGAGTTTTTGTTTTTGTTGCAGGACAGTAGATGGTAATTCCTGGCTGACTCCCTGCAAAGTTGGCACACACATCCTTCTTTTGCTTGGTGGAAGGCTTTGTTTTTGCAAATCTTGAATCCATGGAGGGAGTATTGAGTTAGCACATGTCAAATGTCGATGTTTGGCCCAGTCCAATGGTCTCCTGTTAAAGCTAGGGTTTTCCAGAAGTCATCTTCTATGTCCCTTTTCTTCCTTCCAACCACTATTCTGTATTGCTGGACTTGTTCACTTTCAGGGAGATTCATTTCCTTAAGCACATCTAATAATGTTTCCTGGTGGCAAATCACCAACACAAGTGTGTTGGATGCACTTGGGGGCAAGGATAGCATCCCTTTCAGGAAGGTGGTTTTTGCCCGGTCTAAGATGTATAGGTTGGCTACTTTCAGGTGAGACCAGATGGGTTGTAGAGTGTATGTAAGGATTGCTTTAATTTTGATGTTGAATAGCTTATTTCTGGCCTGGAGGGACAACTTATGTGGGTTGGGCAGGGAGAATATTGCTTGTGTAGCTTTTAAGACCACATTCTTGATATGTCTTGTAAAGCAGCAGGTTGTCTGAAATGTAACTCCCAAGTAGGTGTATGAGTTGGTCAGAAGAGAATGGATTCACAGTCAACACAGAGAAGACACAAGTCATGAAGCTTTGGAGGGGGGGTTGTTGTGCCCACTCTGATGCCTTTGAATTCAACGGTCACCCTGATCATCAGCATCAGGTCAGGGGATGATCATTCTTTTCTGATCATGTTTGTAAGGCCTCTAGGCCTAAGTACAATTGGGAATGATAATTACTGTTATACCCATCTTAACCATATAGGCAGAGTAGACAGCTGCCAATGCCCAGTCTCCCCAAAGGATGCAGGTAAAAAAAATTTACCTTTTAACTTCTTTTACTGCCAAACCTTTGAATTGAGACTTTCATTTGATTGCCTATTTTTTTGGGTGTCTGGGTAAATTTTTGCAAATTTTAGAAAAAAAAAAGACATTGTGGAATTATTTGTGCATAACATTCCAAATTAACCTTAGTTGACAATGGGATACTTAGCAGGAGTTTTTTAAATCTACCATAGTCAACTTCAACAGTGAAAGTGTTAAAGACATATTTGCATGTTAGATGTATGGAGAGCACAGGAGCAGACATCCACAGGATCCATTAAAAGCATGTGCAAGTGGCACCTAAAGTCTCACTTTCACCTGTTCTTACAATTCTTTCGATGAATGATACCAATATGTATTGCCAGATTTTAAGTTGCTGGACATTTAGGATTTGTTCATGAACATGTTCTGGAATGAGTTAAGATCCCAGAAATAAATATTTAAAAAAAAGGTCAAAACAGTCCTCCAAACTTATGTACCAATCCTTTACAAAGCAAAAGCACAACTGAATTGCTAAGTGTTTCACTTTCTACACTGTTTTCCAGGATGCAGGATAAAGTGATCATATTCTGTTCGTGTCATTTCCTCTACAATCCTGATGTCAGGAATTCTGGATATTTGGGTTTTTCTATATTATTCAATGGATTCATTGGAATGGAAAATCCAGCTTTAAAGAAGGAGTATGCTAAGGAAAGTAGATGAACTGCCAGCATGGAATTCAAAGAGACCCTTCAGAGTGATGCAGTTGAAATTTAAAGAAAATGTTCTCAGCACGAAAATGCTCAGGAATAAAGGATCAGGAGGACATATCAAAACCTATTTCTGTAAATATTTCAAAGTTTTTCAGTGCAATTTTTCCATTAAGCCCTCTACATTTACCTCAAATGAATATTACTTATTTTCAACTCATTTCTTAGAATGGAAACAGTTGACTCAGGACTCATAAAAGCTCCATGTCATCACTTATGATTTGATAGATGCTAAGATTCCACTTGGATAAGCAGTTGGCATAAGAAACTTCAGATGGCTGCAGTGTCTGCTCAATGAGAGAGAGGACCCTCAGGTCCAGGACTTGTTGTATCATGGAGAAGTTTGAATCAAAGATTGATGAAAGACACAATTCATGTGTGAGAATGGCACACCCACATAATAAGGATGGAAGCCATTGTCAAATCTATAATAGCATCCAAAAGAAACATTACAAGGTCATGTAGGGCCCACCCATGTAGTAGGAGTTGTGATGGCATTATATCTCTCTTGCTAAGCAAGGGAGATAAGCAAAAACCTAGGGTTTTAACAAGAAATTTTCCTAAATATGCAAATATTACTTTTGCTACAGAAGTTCATCTCTTTTCCCAGAAGACATGAATGGAGGGGAATATTACATTGAAAAATGAAAGATTTAGTCATGATTATGATATATTATTCACACCACTCCCATGATACTCATGGATGTGATGAAAATGCAAATCTGGAGAGACTGAATTGGACTACTGGAACAGATGTCAGCATGGGTTCTCCATGCATACTGATAATTTCAAATCAGCTCAGGTGTGAAGAGTATATGTAAATTGTTCCCCTTTGAATATTTAAAAAATAACATTAATATATATGTACAGACTTCTCGTTTTAAATTACATTTTCAGAAGTCACATCCGACATGGTCACAAAATAGGCTTACTTTCTTTTCCAAGAGTTTTAATCTTGGGGTGACTTACACTAATTCCAGGCTTTCATTTAATCTAAAGAATGAACATGAAACTAAATTATTAGGGTCTGCTTGATGACAGATATGTGAACATTGGAGCAAGTGACTTTAACTTGAGGTTTCACAAAACGTCATGTCTGACACTTTTCTTTGCACATAGGTACACCTCTAACAAAAGAGAGAGTTGCAAGACTATGGAATTTTCAGTCACTACCTAAAGCAAATTGTTGCAGCTTTTATTTGGTGATTTGTCATATATAATATTGTTAAACACATTTTGTATACTAAACATATTACTCAGGATGTCATGTCCAACACGGTGGACAGACCCACATACCACATCAGGAATATGCCTATTAAGGTTTTCTCCATGCCATATGTAAAGTTCAGATCTCCATAGGTCAATTTCAATAGTTCAGATTTCAACAGGAAGTTGTGAGGTGATTCAGATGTGCTTCTGTGGTCTAGGCTGGAATGAATTGGCAGAACACTTGACCTGATGAATTACTACATACCTCAAGGTCAATAGTTCTGCTAGGTTTTTCCAAAAGGTCTGAGAGGGAGTAAAGCCTGTTGCATTACAACCTCTTGTAGCATTTTAATTGTCCCATCCCCTTTGTTGTAGTGTTAGCCTTGGCATACCTCTAATGTTTTTTGGAGACATTATGACATGCACAGGGGAATTAACCCTTTTTTTTACCCGTGGGGATTTCCTGTGGAAATCTGGACTTAACATTTGGCATGGAGAAAATAAAAAAAACACCTATTTCTGACAGGGCACATGCACAGTGCTCAAAGGCTGGTGAGTACACACTAATAATGTTCAGGCATTGTTGACCAATACAGCAAAGGGGATATATAAGGCAATCACATCTTCTACTATATGGGTGAGTCCTAAATTAGCTGGCAACATTTCTCTTGGATGCTAGCATATTATGTGTGTACTTAGAATTCTTCTTAGAATTCTAGAGTGGAAATAGTGAAATTGACCTTGCATGGAATATAAAGACCTATTGAATGAAACCTAACATAGTATCAGACCAGATGAATAGCCTGTGCTCTCTACACATTGGCTACATGGAGTCCTACAAACCTCCACAAAGCCCCAGTACACCCAGAGGCTAGAGCGAAAGGGAAAAAAATTCAGAAAGCCCCAAGATATAAAATTTTTCACTTATAATGAGTATGCAAGGGCATCAAGATTTCCTTTCATTTCTTGTTGGAATATGCAATGATGTTATAACTAAGCCTCAAATAAAGATATTCACATGGACTTTGAAGTTTCACAAATGTCCTCTTGGAGCATTATCACTATGGATTTTGGCAGGGCATCTAGGCTATAAGTCCACATTGAGCAATAAAGGAAGCTACCTTCCTCTCATCTCTTGCACAATGGGAAAGGTAGGTAATTATCATCTATGAGACCATTATCCTGCTTCCCCTATCATCTTTTTTAACTCACCATCATGATCATGATCATTCTGAGGAAGATTAGAACATAGTTTAATCAAACCTTTAGAAATTAACAATCATTTTTAATATTATGAGATGATAGTGGAAATGGAGCATTATGCTTATGATCCATTCTATCTCATATCTGTTACATTTTATAACTAAATCACTGGTATTAACAGAGAAGAAAAAGAAAAGCGTACTTTCAGCTGGAAGAAGGATCATGTTGATAGGCACACTCAGAACCAGGCATGTTCCAAGGACAAGGAAAGGTAGGAAATATCCACCTAGCTGCAACAAGACCATGACATACTTGCTCATGATTGGCATCAGGGGAAAGTCAAGATTCCCAACCTTATGATATCAATGCTTACAGAATAGAGTGCACCTCCTATTGCTGGCCCAGCTGATAGTCCAAGGCCAACAAATATCTCTAATACTCCCTGAAAAACAGTATAAGCAACTTGCAGTGTGTGAGACAAGAAAGACCAGAGATCCATCCAATATCAATATATCCTAACCATCACAGCACCAATATTGTCAGGGAAGACGTGGGCAACAAACGTAAAGCCAGCTGTTCCGAATGCAGCTGCACCCAATGCTTCCATGCCTCTCACCAGGAAGCAGAACAAAGCAAACATCGTTGGATCCTCAATCTGATCTAAGAATCTTGGAAAGATAGAATGGCATTATATTACATTTCCAGTTTTAAAATCTATTAATTGTGGGAATGAATGCATATGGGAATCAACTCACCCAAAAAGGATGCAACAGATCCCAGCAAACAGAGAACCTGCAATAAACATGAACTTGGGGCCAGTGTAGGGGAGCTACAAGAGAGAAAAACACATAATGACATATAACCCGGTTTGGAAGCTTTCAGTTTGTTACCTTCTGCAATAAGACTACCATTCTGCAAACTCACCAACTTGCCAAAGATAGGAGCAAGCAAGAAGCAGACAAGGGCATATACACTGAAGACTAACCCAGATATTGAGTTGCTCAGTCCCTTCTTGGCAACCTGAAAAATATTATAATAGCAATAACATTTAGATACATACCTCAGTAACTTTCAGACATAGTTGACATCTGACAAAAGGGTGAACATGCAATTTTGATTATTTTCAGGGGAGCAAGAATTTCCCTTTTTTGGACTACAGAATAAGAAATGATGAATGTTCTACTTTGTACTAGTAACATGAGAAACTCAGCCCTCTAGTAAAAAAGGGAAATATATAAATTTCATTCTCCAGTCTCAAAAAATGACAAATTCTTATGTATAAAAGACATTTTTAAAATTGCACATTTGGCTTCTTGTCAAATTCTTGGCAATTTGACTTTAAACTTCAGTAACTTTCAAATATATGATCTGTAGGAGTGAAACAGGGAGTGATCCTTTCTTACCTAGAATAAACCATCTTAGCATGATGGGTCAAGGTCTCTGACTTTTTCCTAAAAACCTATGATTCCAAAAGCAAACAAAGTTTTACTCACTGAAAAACCCAGTTGGCTCTTTTAGACTGTCAATGTAAGAACCTCACTCTGCACATTCAAATTATTCATGGAAATGACAAGAAAAAGCAGTCACTAGTACAGCCACATAATAGAGGCTTCTGAGAACTATAAAACTTCCACAAAGTGCTCAAAAATGTATAGTTCAACTTCTGGATTGTTTCAGATCCCTGATTCTTGAGATGGGCCTCATGGGAAAATTCCTGAATACTTTTATGCATCAGAGATTGATAGAATTTGCCAGAAAATATAAACACAAAGAAGAGGAAGCAATATACTATAAGGATGCCACAGAGGCATACCCACTCACAAGTTGATATTGGTGGCCCATATGGATACATAGGATATTAAATCCTGACTTCAGGAGAGATTTACTAAAGTCACAGCATTTTAATCATTTCACAGTTATAGGAGCTTACTTTGTATATGTCTCAGGAAGGTCAATTGAAACTCAGACAGAGTTTTCTGTTTGTTCCAATTACTTTCATTCAAATCACTTCCACTACCACTTTAGATATGTACATTTACATGACCAAAGGTGTGGTTGTGTCACTATAGAACCAACCAACAATTTCAACAATGCATGGTATTGTTGCAATGGCATTATGCATGGAGAATCTATAGATGAATGGTTGGGGTGAGGATGTCAATAGGCACACATATAGGGTTTTCCCAGGAAAGGAGAATGGTTTCACTTAGTTGACATATGTCTACCTGAGAATTTTCAATTCCCTGTAGCCCAGTGAAGGCTATTATTCTGTCTCAAAATTTGGGTCAATGCATCAGTACTTGCTCCATTGAGCATTTTGACATGCATAGAAGAACTAACAGACCAGGGGAGCTAGAGAGACAACAGATTGCATGGAAAGGCTATGTGCTGGGGAGGACAGTGAGGCCAGCAAAAGAGGAAATAACCTGCCTCGACTGCTGGAGAGAGTGAGCAGAGTCCCTGCTGCCCTTTATATGCACATCCTTGTGACATCACTTTACATGCACACATATTCAAGGCTTCCTAAATTCCAGGGGTTGACATTAACCCTTTTAGTGCTGTGTGGCCAATTTTGGCCAAGTGTAATACTGTTAAAATGATGTAGGCTCATTTTTATGCTATCTAACAACAAGAATCCCAACTATGTGAAGGAAGAAACCTGACAAAAAGCTGTGGGAAAAAAATCGGCTAGAAAGCACTAAAAAGGTTAATATAAGACACATTAAGCCGCCACACCAGAATTTGTTGCCATAGGACCTGAAATTGCATAACTACACAATTGTGTACTTTGTGAGCTATGTGGTTCCACATAAATTATGTGAAAATGCATTATGATATATATCAATATGCACTGCTTCTTCAATTTTCAACTTTAACTTTTCAAGGGACAGTTGGATCCAGCTGATACTTGACAACGAGGTTCATGAATCTAAGAGTTTTTTCTCATTTCCACAAGATGGTGCTGTATCCTGATAGATCCCTCAATCGCTCGGTCAGCAACAGTGCCCTCAATCAGGATATAGTGCCATCTTGTGGAATTGAAAAAAAAAAAAAAACCTTTTAGACTCATGAACCTCTCTGTGAAGTATCAGCTGGATCCAACCGTCCCTTGAAAAGTTCATTGAATTCTGAGACAGTCGGGCACAGGTACCCTCACTTGAGGTGGAATGATCCATCTCCTGCACCTTTAATTCACCTCTAAATGGGCATTGCATGACTTGAACAGGGGTGGTGAAAAAAAGCTGGCAAGCATTTCAACACCTTGTAACTGCCAAATATAGATTAAGTATCCAGTGCAATTTTTATAGCTGCATTTATAAAACTGTGTTTCTCCCATAGAAAATGGTAGTGTTTTTTTTTAACCACCCTTACATGCTGGCATTTCTTAGTTTCTCCTTTAGGAACATATTTTTTGCTCTCCTATACAGTATATCTTTCTTCTTCCATGAGAGACTAGGACTTTTTGACCAATATGAGAGAGTGATACAAAAGGATATGCATGGTGATGCATGATTATATACATAGGTATGTAAAGATAAATGCGCAAATTAGAACATGATCATGAATCACCCTGTAAAATTCATAATTAGCAGAATTCTCATTGCCCAACAAGATTAATTTGAAGCTTAGAAGGCAAGAGAACTAAAGAACTTTACTGTCATTATCATGCTGTATTTGGCTAAAAATCTGCCTATACATGAATCAGCCCTTGTCAAATGCCAGGGAGATTTTGAAAACAGTAACTGTGCAGGGCTTCATAGATACCAGATGATGTGATCAGAAAGGATTAGGTGTCCAATATATTTAATTTCCAATCTGCACTATGCAAATGCCTGCAATCAATAAAGGCACTGTGAGAGGATAGGCTATGAATTCAATTTGAAAATAGTGACAAAAAGACCCATGTGAACAGCAGCCAATGTCTCACACAATGCACAATTGTCATGAGGCTGAAACAAGAAATCTTCCTGGCTTCCTAACAATGATTTTGAGTTTATAGTAGTTTTAAATTCCCTTTGAAATCCCTTTATGCAGCTTTGCTCAGTGAGTAAAAGGTTTAATCTGTCATGTGTAAAAAAACTGTGCACTGCCAGTAAGAAAAAACATTTCAGGCAATCAACAGATGGCTTCATTCTCTTTCAAAGTTTGAGGAAAAAGAAAATCTTTGAAACAGTAAAAGGTATCATAAGAGAGGACAGTGTCTTGATTACTTACTTGACTGCTTAATACGAGGGTGGTTCAATACTTAACTTCACTTTTCATTTCAAAATAATCTATGGTAAATCTGATCTCAATCAAACCACACCTCCTTCACAATGTATCCCCCTCCCACACAGATGCACTTGTCCCATCACTCTGGCAAAGCCTGGATGCCAGAGGCATTAAAATACTTATGGCCATGTGCACAGCACTTCGCCACTTTGTCTTTGCCCTGAATTTCTTCAGTGGAGATGATCTGGAATGTTGCCATTGTTCAAGTATTTTGATTCTGGCATAAAGTGATGAATCCACATTTCATCATGCATCAAATTACAGTCGAGGAAGTTTACTTTCTCATTATTGCAGTGGTTGAGATAGTTAGACAATACACTCAGTTGGCCTGGTCAAATGTCAGTCCTCTTAGCACACATCTTAAAGTCAATTTTTAAACTTGAAGCAAGTGTGGATTGTGTTTTCAACACTGCCAATGCAGATGTTTAGTTCTGTATAAAAGTCTTGCACGGTAAAGTGGCAATTTTCCAGAGTCATTTGTTCTATTTGCCTGATATTCATTAGATTCATGGCAGTTGTGGACAGATGGCCACACTTAAGGTCTTACAATGATTCTTGGCAGTCTTGAAATTTCTTGCACCAATCCCTTCTCCTCAATAGACAGACAGTCTTCTCCAAACTGTACTTGTAATCTTTGGAAAATATCAGCCACCTTCATGCTCTCTTTCATGTGAAATTTTATTATGCAACACCTTTCAACAGCAGGGGATACACCATCAGATACCATGTTCTTCATGCTCATTTGTTCATTCACAATGGTTGCCAATTTGGTATAGATCACATAGAAGATTCGGACTCTATGGCATAGATCACATAGAAGATTCAGACTATCTGTTATGTTTGTTTTTCAGGTTCTTTTCTACTTTATTGGCTTTCTAGAATAGAAAGTGCAGGTAAGTATTGAACCATCCTTGTATAATGCTTATAAACTAGAGATCTACTGCAATTCTGCAAACTTACTTCATCACCATCACATGAGAAGAAATGGAAACATGAGAACCACTTCTTAAGGAATACATGGAACAGTCTACTTAATAATTTTTTAACAAGGTCATTGCAAGAAATTCCTACACCCCAGGTCTTGTTTCCTTGCTTTTGGGGCTGCAACGCCATAAAATTCTCACTCTTTTTCATAGGAACTTTAAACTGTAAAGCCTGTTTCTTGAGATCTGACCTTGCTAAGCTGAGGAAAATGATCATGAGCAAGGACTTGAGATGAATATTGCTGCTTTTGTGGATCATTGAATGTAAATTGAGCTTTGATTCAGACACAATTCTTCAAAGTTTAACAGATTCCCACTCTTATCAAACAATCTGGCCACCTGAGGATTCTACTCTTCTAAAAGAAGCTCAGCTTTTGCAGAAAAAAAGAACTCAAAATGACTCAACTTATAGATTCTCTGGAGGTCCAATATGAAAATAGTTTTAGTAAACCAAGTTTCAATTGATTCAAATCTGTAATTGAATTAAATTTTCTAATTTCTTGACTCAAATCTAGGCCATAAAAATGACTTTCACATAGTTGTCACTCTGACTCAGATGTATGCAACACAAGTTGTCCAGGTTTTCCATCTGCACCAATCATCAAAAACTCTACAAGCCCTTCTGTTACATTTGGAATAAAATAACTTAATGTCACACATTTTTGTGAAATTGAAACCAACTTTTTGGCACCCTGATGAAAGAGATTCAAGATTACATTTTCATTTTCCAGTTCATATTGTTTTTTTTGTCTTAACCCAGGACAA